TAAACCGATGAATAAATTAAATACAATTATAAAAACAGGAAAAGATCCCTTGCTTAAGGATGACCATTGTGGAGTAGTTTATAAAATTAATTGTTTGAATTGCGAATCGTCGTATGTTGGCCAACTAAGAGAAAATTAAAAACTTGTATTAAAGAACACAAGACTGATATTAAGAAATATACTTCTGAGATATCAGTTGTTTCACGTTACCATGTGAATGAAATGCATGAGTTTGATTGGGATAACATTAAAATTTTAGATACAAAACAATCATTGATGAAACAAAGAATTTCAGAAATGATACATATTAAAAACCAAATAAGTGGGATCAATAAACAAAGTGATACCGAAGGTTTGCCTGATATTTATCTTCCTCTTCTAAAGAAAGATCTCTCTCGCACTTAATAAATAATTCTAGAACTTTCTAAATTTGACTCATGGATATAAATAGTGGAAAAATATGTGATACGACCAATAACAACACATAGTGTCACGACAAATTTCTATCTGTGCAATGATTATACTTGAAATTCATCGATTTATTTTGCTGTAAAACAGATAATGTTTCTTTTGTTTTAAAAGATATTAATAATAAAATAAATTATTGTAAATTAGAATCTGGAAATTCTCATTCTACACTTTTCACTATATGACTTCTGATGTTCTAACATTATGATATGAAGCAGCGTCGCATTGATGCAAACACAATTTTTACAATTATAACACACGGTTGAATTTTATTCCAACTTGGTGTAACTCTGCGTCTTAAGAATATTATTAATTTTACTGAAAATGGCCAGATTGTGGCCCAAACATTTAATGTTTTTATTGTAATTCGTAATGCAAGTATAATTAAATATCACTAACTACATCTTATGCTGTGGTTCTTTATGCTCTTTCTTTTCATATTTTTGATTTCATTCTTTTTTATTTCATTTTTTTATAATTTGAGTTTTTATATTTTGTCATTAAACTTGACCTTATAACATCAAAATATTGAAATTATATAAAACTTCTTTTGACAACATATATTCAACATTTTTACTATTACTCGGCGTTTTAAGCAAATTTTGTTACGCAACGTATAACCGAAATACTACACGATCTGAAATTACAGCTCGAGAATTAAGAAAAATGAAGAATTAGGCTGATAAAAGCTCTAGTTTTATCGTACATGCTTCAAAGGATAAACAAAAATAAAAGAAAAGACTAAAAAGTGAAAAAAAGATCCATTATATTTAGTATATTTGAAGATATTTTTGCACTCTTT